CTGATAACCATGGAAATGACCCCTCTTCCTCCTGTGCCACATCCTCTTCCATCATCGCCCGAAGCATTTGTCAAAGAGACATAGAAGCGGGATAGTAAGGCTGAGAACGGCGTCATCAGCACTGGCCATGTTGGTGGAGTACTCAAAACAGTGCAAAATAGCATACAGGTCTTGCATGGAGGCCCACTCATTGGTGGTGAAGTGGTGCTATTCCACAGAGTGACTGACCCGTGCGTGCTGCATCTGAAACTCCACTCCATCGCCTGCTTTGGTGTGCTCGGTCCCTGGGTGCGATGGGCAGTAGCAGGCGTACCATCTAAGGGATAGCGGCTCTGCTTTTGCACCCTGCTCCCTCTTATGCTGTGTTGGTGCCTCTGTGCGACCACCGCCTCTTCCTCCAAACTGCACACGTCACTCGCATGACCTTCATTCCATGTGGGGTCTAGGACCTCATCATCCTTCACATCATCTTCCACCCACTCCTCAACCCTGCCCTCCTTGCTGGTCTGCACACTGCAGAAAGCCACAGTACTTGGCACCTGTGTTTCGTCATCATCGGAGACGTGCTGCAGTGGTCCTTGCATGTCCACATCCTGACACATAAGTGGTTGTGCATCAGTGTACGCAATCTCTTCCACTTCTGGGGCAGGGCTAGGTTGATGGCCCACGAAAACCCCGCCAGCAGAGTCATCAAAAAGCATAAGAGACTGCTGCATGACTTGAGACTGCTTGGCTGATTTGCAAGGGGGTGAGGTGAAAGACAGATGGCCATGTGCTGTAGGTGCCAACTCTGAGCTTTCAGCAGGGGACCGGGTGGGAAACAATGTGCAGGAACCGGAGGCACTGTTAGCCATCCAATCTACTATTGCCTGTACTTGTTCTGGCCTCACCATTCGTAGAGCAGCATTCTGGCCTACCATATAACGCTGAAGGTTCTATCACGTACGCGCAGCTGAGGAAGGTGTTTCACTTGTGCGTGTAGCTGGCACAGATCGACCACATCCCCTCATTGCAACAGGAGCTCCACCAACACCAGCAGCACCACGAGCAGGGCCATGTCCCTTATTTGAAGCTCATTCTTTGTGTTCACCCACCAAACTAACAGATGGTTTATGTCAGGCAACAATGTAACCGCCAATAGTCAACAATTTTTTTATTTTTTTTAGTTTATTGGACTGCAAGAAATACACTGCAGGCCTAAAAATTTGAATTTTTAAAACTGCTAGGTCACAGCACTATTTGACAGTTTTATTTGACTCTCAGATATGAAGTGCAGGCACCAAATTGACTTTTTAGCACCTAAAGAATTTGAATTTTTACAACTGCAATTTAAGCACAATATTTGACGGTTCTATTTGACTCTCAGATATGAAGTGCACCGCAGGCCGCAAATGTACTATTTAGCAGCCAAAAAATTTGAATGTTTAAAACTGCTATGTCACAGCACTATTTGACGGTTCTATTTGACTCACAGATATGAAGAGCACGCCCCAAATGTACTTCTTATGAGCAATTAAAAATGGGAATTTGTCAAAGTGTGCTGTAAACACAGTATTTGACGCTTCTATTTGACTCTCAGATATGAATTGCAGGGCCCAAATTTACTATTTAGCATATTAGCACCCAGAAAATAAGAATGTTTACAATTGTGCTGTAACCACAGTATGTGACACTTCTATTTAACTCTCAGGTATGAAGAGCATGCCCCAAATTTACTATTTAGCAGTTTAGCACCAAAACAATTAGAACTTTTACAACTGCGCTGTAACCACAGTATTTGACGCTTCTATTTGACTCTCAGATATGAAGAGCACGCCCCAAATGTTCTTCTTAGGAGCAAAAAAATGGGAATTTGTCAAAGTGCGCTGTAAACACAGTATTTGACGCTTCTGTTTGACTCTCAGATATGAAGTGTAGGCCCCAAATTTACTATTTAGCAGTTTAGCACCAAAACAATTCGAATTTTTACAATTGCGCTGTAACCACAGTATTTGACGGTTCTATTTGACTCTCAGATATGAAGTGCACCCCACTAATGTACTAGTTTGCAGAATTCTTTCCTAATCTGTCCCTGAAAGCGGCAGCATCCTCTCCCTACACTAATAAGAGCTCATGTGACGTGCGGCACTACGTGACTCCAGCTTATATATAGAGGCTGGGTCACATGCTGCACTGGCCAATCACAGCCATGCCATTAGGAGGCATGGCTGTGATGGCTTCTAAGGGCACACGAGTCAAACGCTTGTTGATTGGCTGCCCTGAAGCCTTTCAAAACACACCATTAAACTGCCGAACACCGAACTCCAACCCGAACATACACTGATATGTCCGTGTTAGGGTCCGGGTTAGTTTGTGACTAAGTAGCTACTAAAAATGACTGGACATACCCCATTTGCATTACCTTGTGTTGTCTACTTTTGCAAATGGTATGCCATCATGGGGGTAATTCTCATTCCTGGGCTACCATACGGTCTCAAAGGCAACGTAACCAATCTGGCGAATTTCAATGTGAAAAAACTGAAACACAAGCCTTATATTTGACTCTGTAACTTTTGAAAACACCATGCAACCTGTACATGAGGGGTACTGTAATACTCGAGAGACTTCGCTGAACACAAATATTAGTGTTTCAAAACAGTAAAACGTATCACAACAATTATATTGTCCGTATAAGTGCCATTTGTGTGTGAAAAATGCAAACAATTTCACTTTTACTGACAATATCATAGTTGTTATACATTTTACTGCTTTGAAACACTAATATTTGTGTTCAGCTAAGTCTTCCGAGTAAAAACAGTACCCCCTATGTACAGGTGTTATGGTGCCTTGGAAAGTTACAGGGTTAAATATAGTGCTAGCAAATTAAATTCCCTGGACTTTCGGCCTGGGTTGTCAGGCAGGTCCTGCAAGTTGTAATTAATAAAATGACCTAATTATGTAAAATTATTACATAAACATATATACGTAGAATTATTATATATATATATATATATATATATATATGTATATATACTATATAGATCAATTTATATAATTTCGTTCTACGTGTATTTTGATATCTATATAAACACATATATATATATTTTTTTAAATACAGTTAGAATGAAAAGACACACATATATATATTATTTATTATTATTTTTTATTTTAACATATTTACATTTATATTTATTTTATATATATATATATATATAAAATGATAATTATATATATTTAATCAATATCATTGTATGTGTACTTTGGCAGAGTTATATCCTAGACAAACTGACAATCATTCAGAGTGCAGCAAAATAATAATGTTTATTAACAAGATGTTAGAGAAAATATAACAAATATTAAAGGGACACTACAGTCACCAGAACATCTACAACTTAATATAGTTGTTCTGGTGAGTGTAATAGCTCCCTTCAGGTATTTTCATGTAAACACTGACTTTTCAGGAACATCCCTAGGTGGCCAATACTCAGATGGCCACTGGAGGGGCCTCCTGGCTCAGGGATGCACAGTAAGCAGCCCTGCCATTCAGTGTCCTCGCGCTCTGCAAAGTTGTGCACTTCGGCGTAAAGAATACACAAGCAACGTATACCCTTAATGGAAGCGAATTAGGGATAACCACACACGAAAAGGACTTGGGAATTGTTATAGACAACAAACTATGCAACAGTGTGCAATGTCAATCAGCAGTGGCCAAGGCCAGTAAGGTATTGTCATGCATGAAAAAGGGCATTCATTCTCGGGACGAGAATATCATTTTGCCTCTTTATAAATCACTGGTAAGACCAAATATTGAATATGCTGTGCAATTTTGGGCACCTGTTCTAAAGAAGAATATTATGGCACTAGAAAAAGTGCAGAGGCGGGCTACAAAATTAATAAAAGGAATGGAACATATCAGCTATGAAGAAAGATTAACAAATTTAAACCTATTTAGTTTAGAAAAACTTCGCCTGAGAGGGGATATGATAACATTATACAAATAAATACGAGGCCAATACAAACCATTTTGTGGAAAACTATTCACAAACCGGACACGAGGTCATGAGTTTAGACTGGAAGAAAGAAGATTTCGTCTAAGGCAAAGGAAAGGTTTTTTTTTTACTGTAAGAACAATAAGGATGTGGAATTCTCTGCCTGAAGAAGTGGTTTTATCAGAGTCCATACAGATGTTCAAACCGCTACTAGATGCATACTTGCAAAAACAGAATATTCAAGGATATAATCTTTCAATTTAGGGTAATAACCGCTTGATCCAAGGATTAATCTGACTGCCATTCTGGGGTCAAGAAGGGTCAAGAAGGGTCAAGAAGGAATTTTTTTCCTAGCTGGATGCAAAATTGGAAGTGCTTCAAACTGGGTTTTTTTTTTGCCTTCTTTTTGGATCAACACCAAAAAACAAATGTGAGGAACGCTGAACTTGATGGACGCAAGTCTCTTTTCAGCTATGTAACTATGTAACTCAGAGGGAATAAACAATGGAATTCATGCAAAGAGATCTTAAAGAAAAGTCAAATTTCTTTCCTAAAAATATGATCTCGGATGAGATGAAAGTATTTGAGACTATGATCAGAAGGGAAATAGGGAAGATAAAAAAAACTAAATAAGTTTCAACAGAACATGTCCGCTAGAGAGAAAAGAGCTGTGAAAGATATGCAAAAGAATGAAGATATAATCATCAAACCTGCGTACAAAAGGGGTAGAATAATGGCTCCTGGGCGCAAACCTAACAGGTGGAAGCCACGAGGCTGAACCAAGATGGCCAACGGCACTACTCCCCACACTGAGCAATCAACACCCAGTGTCTGGGCAGCAGCCTTCCAGGCAAGATTTGATACCATTTGCATGCAATTTTCTGGAACGCTTGGAGAACAGGCGACAGCCATCAGCTCCAACACAGGTTAGCATTGTGGCCAGTGCACCACCGGCTCAACAGCCAGCCAAGGATCTGTCCTCTAAACCGCGAAAGACCGAGGTGAAGTTAGAGGGGCACCAACCGGGCAAAGCAACTAACGGAACTACCTACTATCATCCTGATGGCCCATCAGGGACTACAGCCACCTGGGGGGCAACCCCTACTCACCGTCCATGTCTGCGAAGGAGAGCAAGACGTCAGCAGAAGCATGCAGCTCCACGCAGCCCCACATCGGGGAAGGACTCAGAAAAGAGACATGTCCGTGGAACATTGGTACCGGCTCTCAGAAGGTCCCCGAGCAGGAGGTGTGCCCCACCCGGACTGCACTGTAAAGCTCAAGCGGAGTGCCACTGAAGAGGCTCACAGTCATCCTTTCCAGGCAAGCCACCACGGCCTTTAGACTGGGCATCGGCTGAAACAGTATGGACTGACTTTCTATGCGGCCCACAGCTTACGACCCAGCTCACAATGTGAGAACTCTCTCTCCACATAACGGAGGTTAAAAACGCTTGCTAGTTTACTATGTATAGTCATATTGTCTTATATACCAAGTCTATATATACCAGACAAGTTAAATTTCCTCTGAAAACAGATGTGTACATATAGCTTGTAGTATTTTGCAGGTCGGTCGCTTGGCATGCTAACGTCACATTATATGATTCTTGCAACTAGCCGGTGTTATGAATGGCAGCCAGGTGGACCTGACTAGACAGGTTTCATACATCTTACCATATATAGAGTGCAACTAAGCAATGTTTATATCTTGTTTTTATAAGTGATATGTATACCTCACCTAACATGTAGCAGCTGAACCCCACACCTGATTCGCCTGGTCTGAGATACTTAGGCTAACACATTCTTGTCTATAGCTATGTTAAGCATGTACAAGACTCTAATATGGTAACAGACAAGTACAAGCGAATTTCACACTACTTATAATAGGCTATGATAGACCATGTTTAAACAACTCTTACAAACAAATTCTTGATTGACTCAACTCTACCTAAGTTCACGCAAAAGTTCAGCTTATTTCTTATTTCTACTCATGTCTCTTATATTATAAAAATTGTGCATGTTCACTCAAATACCCCAAATGTAAAGCTTGATATAGGGCCAGAGGATTGCTGTTGGGGTACCTCAGGCTTGTGTGTAACTATCCTATGCACTGCAAAAATAAAGAATTTAAAAAAAAAAAGGGGTAGAATAGTAGTCCTCTCAAAGGAACAATAAACATGAAAAGCAGAAAGTATACTATCAGATGAGACCACATATCAGAAACTAATAACTAACCCCAAAGATACAGTGAAGAGAAAGTTTGATAACTGCATACTAAAAGGTGTAGAGAAAGGTATTCTGACTGAAAGGGAAAGTAAGTATCTATTCACACCTTATCTGAGGATTCAGTTTTTTTTTTTACCAACTACCAGCGTCCATAAGAAATCCAACATCCCCCAGGAAGATACTTTATGACAACCAGTGGTAGTTAAAAATCCAGCTTACTTGAAAGATACCATTCAAGTCTTACAACTCTTAAAAAATATGACATGGTGTAACTAGTGACCAGTGGTGTAACATTTTTTTTTACAGAAACATAGAAACATAGAATGTGACCGCATAAGAACCATTTGTCCCATCTAGTCTGCCCAATTTTCTAAATACTTTCATTAGTCCCTGGCCTTATCTTATAGTTAGGATAGCCTTATGCCTTTCCTTAAACTTCTTTACTGTAATAACCTCTACCACTTCAGCTGGCATACTACCCAATGCATCCACTACCCTCTCAGTAAAGTAATAATTCCTGATATTTTTAAACCATTGCCCCTCTAATTTAAGACTATGTCACCTTGTCGTGGTAGTTTTTCTTCTTTCAAATATAGTCTCCTTCTTTACTGTGTTGATTACCTTTATGTATTTAAATATTCTATCATATCCCCCTTGTCTCGTCTTTCAAGCTATACATGTTAAGTTCCTTTAACCTTATATCTATATAATATAGAATGCACACTATAACAACTTCAAATATTTAAAAATCAAATTTTATTATGTACAAAAAGTACTGTAGTGAAAAAATTATATATGTGCATAGAATGAATGTAGATTCATGTTTAGATAAATTAGTACTACGAAGCCTAGCAATTAATATGTACCATATGGAGAACTGCTGAGTGTTTTATTATCATTGCATATTTGGTGCCTTTAGCGATCAATCTATGGCACATGTGGTGTTTAAGTATTTAAAAAAATTTACAATCACTTGGTGTTTTGATTTTCTTTTGTGTTTTGTCTTGTAGTATTTGTGGGAGTTGGTTTTATATATAGGCTCACTGATCACACTTTATCTATTAGTATTAGTATTTATCTTTTAGTGTGACTTTAGTTTTATTTTTAGCCCTCTTATGCATATGTATACATGTAATACATACTTTATAAACTTGCATGGTGTGTACTGATTTGAGTGTTTGTTTAAATACTCTGTTAGTTATCATCCACGGTGAGTGGGCGGTCTCTCTGAATGACATAGTACTTTAACGATTAATTGAACACTGCTTTGCGCACACGCTAGCCTAATACCATTGGACAGAAGCACTGCTCCTGCGTGGACTCTATGCCATGATATGCATGCACTAATGAGATATGGTTACGCGCATGCGCGGCACTTGCTATAGAACGCATGTGCGATGTATTGTTGCGTGCGACGGTGGCTATGGCACTTGCGAGGCACATTGCTATAGGCGTTCACTTGCCAGTGAGTAAGATGGCGATTATAGACGCCAGAAAGCGCGTGCGGGCGCTTATTTACTATGTATTAACTAGCAGTTTATCTAATAAAACACTTATTTTAAGTATCTTTTAGATAATAAGGTTTTTCTGTTGTTCAACGAATATTCTCAGGGCACACATTTGACTTTTATACAATGTTGTTATGTTATCATTTAGATATTGTACCAGCACTTAAGGTGACGAGGTCACTTCGGGAGGTGGTAATTTTATGCTCATGGCCATCAGCTGCAAGAGGGCTTTATAAGTAGACACATTTGAACATGGATACAGGTACCCTTGATAAAGGCAGCCAGTTGGTGCCGAAACGTTGGGGGGTTTGGTGACTCTTGTTTCTGTCTTGTAAGAATTTTTTGGCATTGTACCATTGCATTATTGTATTTGCCCTTGCTTCTGTCACAGTGTTTATCTTTTGTATTATTTTTATAGTACTTTTTGTGCATAATAAAATTAGATTTTTGAATATTTGAAGTTGTTATAGTTTGCATCCTATATGATATAGATATTCGGATATTTAAAACATTTAAGGGAGTGTTTATATGGTTTAAACCTAGCTATCTAATATAATTGTGTCTCTCCATGTGTTTTTGGTTTGTGAAAAGTTCCTTTAACCTTACCTTGTAAGTTTTATCCTGCAATCCATGAACCAGTTTAGTAGCCTTTCTCTGATTTCTCTCTAAAGTATCAATATCCTTCTGGAGATACGGTCTTCAGTACTGCGTACAATAGTCCAAGTGAGGTCTCACCAGTGTTCTGTACAATGGCATGAGCACTTCCCTCTTTCTACTGCTAATGCCTCTCCCTATACAACCAAGCATTCTGCTAACATTTACTGCTGCTCTATTACATTGTCTGCCTACCTTTAAGTCATCAGAAATAATCACCCCTAAATTCCTTTCCTAAGATGTTGAGGTTAGGACTATCAAATATTCTGTACTCTTCCCTTGGGTTTCTACATCCAAGATGCATGATCTTGCACTTATCCACATTAAATATCAGTTGCCACAACTCTGACCATTTTTCTAGTTTACCTAAATCATTTGCTATTTGGCTTATCCCTCCTGGAACATCAACCCTGTTACATATCTTAGTATCATCAGCAAAAAGACCTACCTTACCATCAAGACCTTCTGCAATATCACTAATAAAAATATTAAAGAGAATGGGTCCAAGTACAGATCCCCGAGGTACCCCACTGGTGACTAGCCCATGCTTTGAATATACTCCATTGACTACAAACTTCTGTTGCCTGTCACTCAGCCACTGCCTTACCCATTCAACAACATTGGAATCCAAGCTAAAAGACTGCAGTTTATTAATAAGCCTTCGACAGTGTCAAAAGCCTTACTGAAATCTAGGTAAGCAATGTCTACTGCACCACCCTGATCTATTATTTTAGTTACCCAATCAGAAAAATCAATAAGATTAGTTTGGCATGATCTCCCTGAAGTAAACCCATGTTGTCTCTGACCTTGAAATCCATGTGATTTTAGATGTTCAACAATCCTATCCTAACATGGTTTCCATTACTTTCCCCACTACTGAAGTAAGGCTTACTGGCATATAGTTGCTCAACTCCTCCCTACTACCTTTCTTGTAAATGGGCACAACATTCGCAAGCTTCCAATCTTCTGGGACTACTCCTGTTAAGAATGATTGGTTAAATAAATTTGTTAATGGTTTTGCTAGTATTTTAATAACTTTGGGTGTTTTCCATCAGGTCCCATTGACTTATTTGTCCTTACTTTTGACAGTTGAAATAGAACCTCTTCCTCTGTAAACTCACATGTAACAAATTACTTATTTGTCCTTTCCTTCATGTTCATCTGTAAATACTGAACAAAACTATTCATTGGGGCAGTCAGCTAGACCTTTATCCTCTTCTACATACCTTCCTTCTTTTGTTTTTAATCTAAAGTTTCAGAATATATAGCATTATCTCCCACAAAATAGGGCTAGAAGCGGTCAAATATTTTTACACAAGTCCGACTTTAATGATGATCAAATAGAATACATTTTAGAGAATTTTACTGATTTTAATGAACAATTAATTTTGGTTCCAGAATAATTTTTAGTTGCAAATTCGAGGCACAGCGATGGGCACCAAATTCCACCCAGTTATGCCAATCTCTTCATGACTTATTGGGAAGAGAAATTTGTCTTTCAGGGACATTCCTGGGTGACGAGTTTGGTGTCATATCTCCGAAACATAGATGACATATATTTAATATGGAGAGGTTCGCCCATAGATTTAGAAAGGTTTTTAACATATTTAAACAATAAAAATAGTAGGATAGTTATATCATCTGGTTTTAGCTCTTCAGAGATCAATTTCTTAGACTTAACTATTTTTATCCAAGACTCAAACATCAAAACCAAAACCTTTTTTTTTTAAACTGTGGATGCAAATGGATATACAGAAAGAATGAGGTGCCACTACAAACCTTGGCTTGAGAATGCTCCTAAAGGCCAATTTCTACGAATCAGGCGAAAATGTACTGAAAATCAGTCAAAAATTATTCAAGACCAATACTTAGAAAAAGGGTATGAAGAAAGGGGCCTGGAT